GAAGGGAAAGTGGAGAAATGGGAGATGGACCAGAAGCCTACTAAAAGAAAAAGAATATGCCCAAATGCTGAAAAAAGAATTAAAATTATTTTTTGAGATTGAGAGAGCAAACAACATTACAAAATTTGTGGGACACGACAAAAGCTTACATAAGGGGCCTAATAATAGCTTATGCAGCAAAAAGAAATAAGGAAAGGAAGAAACAACAGATAATATGACAGGAGAAACTGAAGGAACTGGAAACCAAAATGCAGAAAGACCCCCACAATGAGGAAATTAGAAGAGAAAGAGATATACTGAAACACAAAATGAATATAATGTTAAAAGAGGAAATGGCTCAGAAACTCAAAGTGGTGAAGCAAAATTATTTTGAGAATGCAAACAAGCCAGGGAGGTGGCTAGCACATAAACTGAAAAAGGAACAAGAAAAAATAATAATACATGTGCTGCAAGATGAGAATGGGAGTTCCTGCTACCAGATGGATAAAAAGAAAATTATAGCCCAAAAGTTCTTCTGTAGTCTTTATGCACAGGAAGAAATATCAGAAGAAGACATTTTACAACATCTAAACTATAGGAATCTACCCATAATATCAGATACTGTAGGGAAATGTTGAACAATAAAATTACCATGAAAGAATTTAAAGATGCAATTGAAAAACAAAAAACCAACAAAACACCAGGCCCCGATGGAATTCCAGCGGAGTTTTTAGAAAGAAATTCAGAATGCTAGAACTAGAAGAAATAATGTTAGAAATAATGTTAAATAACTAGAATAATGTTAGATCTGTACAACGAGGTGCTTGGGCAGGCAAAATACCAAAAACATATTCCGAAGGAACATACAGATCTTCAGCAGACAAGAAATTACAGACCGATCTCGCTTTTAAACATAGACTATAAAATCATGGCCACAATAATGTCTGAAAGATTAAAAACAATACTAAGCGAAGTCATTCACCCTGACCAGAATGGATTCTTCCGAAATACAGATAAGAGACAATACAAGATTGATCATGGATGTCCTAGAATACTACGAGACCCACTTAGAGAAACCAATGGCATTGATATTTCTGAACGCACAGAAAACGTTCGATAATTTGAACTGACAATTCCTCATAAAACAAATGAGTATGATGCAATTTGGCGAAAAATTTGTAGGGTTCATTAAAACAATATATAATACACAAACTGCAAAAGTGATATTGAACTGAGAAACAACAGATGGTTTGAATATTATTAAAGGAGTAAGATAAGGATGCCCATTAGCCCCACTTTTATATATATTATCAGCAGAAGTACTGCTGATCCAAATTAGGCAGAATCAGGAGATAAAAAAATTGATTACTAAAAAAGAATACAAAGTCCAAGCTTTTGCAGATGATATGGCATTTATCATTGAAGATCCAACAGAGATGGTAGTATACTAATTCGTGAAATAGAAGAATTTGGAATGGTAGCAGCATTAAAAATTAATAAGAAAAAGACGAAAATAATAACTAAAAATCTCACTAGGAGTCAAAATGAAGAATTGGAATATGAATTAGGGATACAAATAGCAAAAAAAAAAGTATTTAGGAGTTTGGCTCATGGCAAAATGCTCTTCCATAAAGGAAGATAATTATGATAAAATAATATTACAAATACAAAAAGATCTGGATAACTGGGCCAAAATACAACTCTCATTATTGGGACAGACAGCAACTATAAAAATGAGTATACTATCCAAACTCTTATTCTTGTTTCAAACAGTGCCGGTAAAATTGGGTAATTTTTTTTGATGATTTGAATAAAAGAGTTGCGAAATTTATATGGTTATAGAAAAAAACCCGGGTAAAATTTAAACTTTTACAAGATAGTAGGCATAAAGGAGGATTTGGACTTCCGGACTTTGAACTATATTACCAGGCAGCAAATACAACCTTGACAACAAAAGAATATTAGCAATAGAGGGCCATGATCCCCAGTTGGAGTGGTATGCATTTCTTTGGGAAGGGAAAAATAGTTGCCATACCTACTTTCAGAGACATCGTGTCAGGGATGTTATACTGTATGTTTGGGACATAATAAAAAAAAAACCACTATGTGAAAATACCAACCTGGCTGTCAATGATGGAAGCAATGATATACCCCAATGCACTGGATTTAAATAAGATGATAAAATATAAAGAACTTTTAGATGAAAAAGGGGAACTAAAAACTCAACAGCAATTAAAGGCACAAGGAATGGAAATAGGGTGGTGGCCATATCTCCAAATACAAAAATGGTATAAAAAGGATTGGGAACAATTTGGCTTTTATAGAACTCAACAAGAATAAGATAAAATTATACAAGGAACTGGGAAACAAATGATTAGTTAAATGTACAATTATTTACTGAAATGGAAGAAGAAAAAGTAAAAGAAAATATGATAATTTGGGCCAAAAATTTTGGATATGGTATTGATTTGGAACAATGGGAAAAACTATGACAGGTAAATGATAAATTAAGGTTGTCAGTTGCATACAAGGAGAACCTTTATTAAATGTTCTACCGCTGGGAACTAGCCCCAGCGAAGCTAGCCAAGATGTTTCCCAATATATTGGCAAAGTGTTGGAGATGTACTCACAGCCAAGGAAAGTATTTTCACATGTGGTGGACCTGTCCCCAAACCCGGAAGTATTGGCTCAAAATTAAAACATGGTTGGGAGAAACAACGAAACAAAGAATTGAATTAAGACCTGAATTGTTTTTATTAAGTATAATAGGATCAAGTTAGTAGGAATTTCCAATATATTATACTCCATATAGTAACCACTGCCAGAATTTCACTTGCTCAAAACTGGAAACAGGACACTATTCCCTCCGAGACAGCAATAATAAAAAAGAACCTCAAATGCGCTGAAATGGACAGGCTAATGATGATATTAATAGAGAAAGAAGAGAAAGAGTACTATAAGATATGGAATGTTTGGTATGAGTGGACGCAAAGTCATCAATCAACAACAAAATTGTGAAAGTGTTAATTAATGATGTGTGTGTGTGTGTGTGTATAAATAGTTTTATAAGCTAGAGTGAGAAATAAGAATATAAGTGAGTAAGAATGGAAAAATAATTGATATAGTTTTAGATTTTATCAGCTAGTGTGAACACCATTTCGGAATTGTTGTAAAAAGTGGAAATTGTCTTTTTAAATGTTTAAATGTTGAATAAATAAATTTAACTAAAAAAAGAAAAGAAATGGATGCCATGGGTGCAATTCCAAAACATGGAGCACCACTCAAACACCATCAATATTAACAAAGTCATCAGTCAATTGAAAAAGGCAGTTTGGAACAGCTTACATTCTGTGACAAATTCCAAATCCATTCTAAACATCTAACTATGTGATCAACAATAACAAATTATATGAACTATTTTTTCTTTTTGTGGAAAATATAAAAAGCTGAATCAACCAGTACAAAAACATTTTATTACTTCAATGTACCTGGATAAAAATGACTACTAAATTCATCTAAAAGCTGGAAAGATTATCAGGAAAGTATAAATTATATGGAAAACCGCTAAATGCACTCCAGTAACATGTGGAATACTACCTCTATTCCTGTTAGCAGTACAACTCAAAATTGACATATTTGAGGCAATATCTGTTCCAAAACATTTCCCTGACATATTTAATTATTTAATTAAAACTATACAGAGAAAATCCCAAAGATGCTATTTCAAGAGGCAATGGCACTTTCTGTTTTTCTTTCTTCTTTTGAAGACATTTCACTTTCATCCAAAAAGCTTCTTCAGCTTTGGCTGGATGGTGAGGAATGGAAGGATTTATACTCCTTGCAGACAGCTGGTCATTTGCATTCTTTTAGAGCAGGGGTCTTCAAACTTGACAGCTTTAAGACTTGTGGACTTCAACTCCCAGAATTCCTCTTTGAGTCATGTTAGGTCAGGAATTCTGGGAGTTGAAGTCCACAAATCTTAAACTTGCCAAGTTTGAAGACCCTTGTTTTAGATAGTCATTTGAGGCAACCTGGAGGTTTATCTGTGTCATCAGGGTCACCTAAGTGGTGCAAATGGATGTGGTGACTTCTTGGAACTGTGGAAAGACGGTGTTGTAGACTGGAGATAGATGGTATAGTATTCCTCCTCTCTGTTGAGAGGGTTGTTCAATTTTGACATAGATGGTCTCTTTGACTCCTCTTTCAAACCAGCAAATGTGGACTTTGCTGGTTTGAAAGAGAGGCATTTGTGTTTTAAATGTAGATGGACTGCTGAATGTTCTCCTATGCTGTGCATGTATGAAGTATATGAAGTGGTTGTTTGTGCCTTGCTCAGTTTGTGCCTGGGTGTTTTATCCTTGGGATGGACAAGCTTGGAAAAAAAACCCCAGAAAGCCCAGCTGCCTCTTTAAAAAACATCTTTGGAACAACTATGACCTGGACTGAGACTCTCCATAGACATTTACACAGAGAAAGCTGATATATTTATTCTCCATATCTCTTCTATAACAATGGAAGAGAATATAGGGAACAATTAAAGGAAAAGAAGGTAACAAACAAAGCTTCCATTGTTAAGTTTGAGCCACCCAGAGTTGGAATGCGTTGGTTCTTGTAGTACAGAACATTTTTTCATCGGATTATATACATGGTTCTGAATAAATATCATACTAACTACAATACAATTTACCATTACAATTTAAGGCAATTGAAAGATATTTTGAAACAGTGCTCACAGACTACTTTTGCAAATACTCTTTCATTAAACTTTTTCAAATATTTCTTAAATTCATGCAACAATATGAACAATTCTCTCTCTCCCTCTTTTACACATACACATACACACTCACACACAAACATACTGAGGCAAGCATAGAGAGTCTCTCAAGTCTAGATCACATTATATTTTTAGAAGTTTCATAGTTGTTTTGAAACAAACAAAATATTTTTGCATTTTAACAATAAGGAGAAATTTATTTCATAAAGAACCATTTTCTGAACCCCAAAAGAGGCACAAATCATACCTTTCCAAAGAATGGGTTTGCCATTCTTGCAACAATAGGTCTAGAAATTCAAAAGAGCGCCTAGAAAATATAAGGTTTAAAGTCAATTCTAAATTTATCTGAATTAGTTACAGAAGGTAAAGATTCTAACATATTAAAAGTCTTTAATTACTAGAAGTCTGGGAATTTGACAAACAAACAACTATACTGAATTTAAAAGGAGGCATTATGATTTCTTTATCCCTTACTGTTAACCTTGGTTGAGTCATTATACATTTCTTTGAAGTAGATCTGGATGATCCATACAATGCAACATTAAAAAATGATATTTTTTGTTAGGAACAGCAAAGATGTGTCATGTGATGTTGTGCTTTAGAACCGCATCACTTAGCAATGGAAATTCTGGTCCCAAATAATTCCCTCAACACTGTCCAACTATTTACAAAGTCTGCACTATTATTACTATTAACCTTCTCATCACTCCTTATCACTCATCCCCTCCCACTTGTGACTGTATGACTGTAACTTTGTCACTTGTATCCTTACGATCTATACTGACTGTTTCCTAGTATGATTTGTTTGCTTTTTGTACCCTATGACTATTATTAAGTGTTATACCTTATGATTCTTGACTCTTGACGAACGTATCTTTTATTTTATGTATACTGAGAACATATGCACCAAGACATATTCCTTGTGTGTCCAATCACACTCGGCCAATAAAGAATTCTATTCAAATATTGTTCTAACTTGATAACTGTCAGCAAAGTTCTATGTCCTAAATCTGAAAAATATCCCTTGTAGATGTAACTATATATTATGGCAAAAGTCATTCTTAATATTTATTTCCATTTATTAAAATGTGAAATGTAAGTCTATTATTTTTTCTTAAAGTGAACTTCATGTCAGATTATAAGGGTGGGAAATTGACAGCAATTAAAATTGTTATTAGAGAGATTCATATTTTTCTAATATTGGTTAATGTAACATTCAAAGGTTAAAATTCAAAACCCTCACCTCCTTACTGCCACAGATTTTGAGGTACAGTTGCTGGTTATTAAAGGTATGAGTCTTGGCACATGTGTATGCTGAAAAGAAAAAAAAAAAATCCTGAAATCTAGCTGAATGGATTCAACAGAAGCAATGTTAATCAATTAATCTCCATACTGTACATCCATTTCTGAGTGTCTCACAAACAAATGAAGGAATAAAACACAAAATAATAAACGCTTTTGTCTTACTTCATTTGCAATTTAGTTGGAATATGGTTTTACAGATTTTAAGGCTTGGATAGATATATTTCAATCTGTTCTAATTCAAATATTAAAACACTTCTTTAAATGTTTAGCTTTAAATGTATACACAATCCTCTCTCAAAGAAGGACTTCAAATGAGCATAAGTCCAATTTTAATCCAAGAAAAATAAATTAATAAACCAGTTAAGTTTCAGATGGTGGTATTTAAATTAAATAGTTGCATATAAAATGTTATTGTTACATTTGTACTACATTCAATGTATATAAAAGAGGGCATTCTGACTGAAATATTGCAGAACATTAGGAAAAATCACATCTTTTTTATATTTATTGCTTGATGTAATTAGCAAATGTTTTTCAAATGCAACATTTGTAACATCTTAAGCCCCATTCTAGTAGTTTTCAGAACTAGCAGAACTGTTATTAGTATTCAGGCAATGTTTTTCTCTTATTATCAGTTTTATATAAAACAAAACATATACGATACATAAATACTGTATATACTTGAGTATAAGCCGAGTTTTTCAGCACATTTTTTGTGCTGAAAAAACCCCCCTCGGCTTATACTCGAGTCAGATTCCCTCTGAAAAAAAAAATGGTGTGGAGCTCCGGAGCTGGGCAGCTGCTTCCCTGCTTCCGTGTTTCCTTTGCAACTTGTAAGCATGGGGGTAATCGGAAGCAGAAAAGTTCTTGCATGAGGATATATTGTTTTTTCTTTAACTGTTTTTATGGGGGGGAAAAGACCCACTGTCATGTGAGAATGCTCAGACACGAAATCTATCCGCCTGAAAATAAGTGTGTGTGTGTGTGTGTGGGGGGGGATTTTAACAGAGGGAAGACATAGGGAGAAGGCAAAAGTGACGGAAGATCCTTCAGGGGAAACTGAGGGGGAGACTCACCCTTGGTCCAGATGAGCCCCTTTCCCCGCCCCTAAGGAAGCAGAGGCAGCCAGCAAGGGCAGGCAAGCCCCGCTTCGCAGACTCCTTCCGTCCTCGCTCCCACCCACCCACCCAAAGCCACGAAGTCCCCCAATCGCGCAGCCCAGAATCGCCCTCCCCTCAGGGGGCAGCAACGACGCCCGGTGTTTCCTGAAACAAGAAGCTCCGCCATGCAATGAAAGCGCCCTGGCTCTAGGCTCAGAAAACAACGCGAGCCGAGGTGGCTTCGTTTCCTCAGCCCTAACTGCTTTCAGTCCGCTCGGGAGGGGGAGGAGGAGGTGGTGGCAGAGGCTCGCGTTGTTTTCTGGCTCTAGGCTTGCGATCTCAGAAAACAACGCGAGCCGCTGCTGCCCCCTCCTCCTCCCCCTCCCCCTCCCGAGGGGACTGAAACACCAGTTTGCATACAGAAGAAATAGATCTAAAGAGGATGCTATAGCCATCACTCTTCACACTGCTGATTCATCTGGAACAGTGTGTGTGTGTGTGTGTGTGTGTGCGCGCGCGCTATGTGAGGATGCTTTTTGTAGATTTTAGTTCTGCGTTTAACAGAATTCTTCCACATAGACTAGTGTCTAAACTTCTGGACCTTGGACTTTCTTATTCAATCTGCCTTTGGATTATAGATTTCCTATCTGGCCGCTCACAGAGGGTCAGATTAGGTAATCATACCTCTTCAGCCCTTATTCTTAACACTGGTACACCACAGGATTGCGTGTTGAGTCCCTTACTCTATACTCTTTATGTGCATGACTGCTCCTACTCACGCTAGTAATACTATTACTAAATGGAGACCAAGTGGAGCAAGTGGCCAGTTTTAAGTTTCTAGGTGTTACCATAAAAAAGGACCTGGGGGGGGGGGGGGGGGCGCACATTGCAGCACTGGTCAAAAGTGCCCAGCACAGATTATACTACCTGAGACTTCTCAGAAAATAACAACTAAATGAAAAATTGTGGTGACCTTCTACCGCTGCACCATAGAGAGTGTCTAACTTACTGCATCTGTGTATGGTTTGCCAATTGCACAGTGGCAGATAGGACAGCACTCCAGAGGGTTAACGTCATTGCCCAGATGATCATTAGTTGTCCTCTCCCCTCTTTGGGAGAGCTTTATAGCCACGCTGCCTTAAGAAAGTTCAAAACATTCTCAAAGATCCATCTCATCCTGGGCACATTTTTTTTTTGAACTATTACCATATAGCAGATTGTACAGGATAATAAAAACAAGGACAAAGAGGCTGAAAAACAGGTTCTATCCCAGGGCAGTAACTCTATTGAATTCTATTGTATAGTGCAATATTAATGCAATATCAGGAGTTTTCAGTTCAATGTATAGAATGTGAAGGATGTGTGTTTGTGTTTATTTTCATAGTCATAATGTACACTGAAGATTATATTTAATTTTGTGGTACGAGGTGCAATGACAATATAGTAAAGTAAACTAAATCTGCATATCTGACGTTGTTGATATTTCTCCCAGCAATCTTAATTCCAATTTGTGATTCATCTAGCCCCGCCTTTCTCATGATGTGCTCTGCATATAAGTTAAATAGGCAGGATGACAGTATACAGTCTTCACAAATTCCTTTCTCAATTTTGAACCACAGTAGTTCCATGTCCAGTTCTCACTATTTCTTCTTGACCCGCATATAGGTTTCTCAGGAAACAAATAAGATGGTCTGGTACTCTCATCGCTTTTAAGCTTGCCACAATTTGTTGTGATCCACACAATCAAAGGCTTTAATGTAGTCAATGAAGCAGAAGTAGATGTTTTTCTGGAATTCCTTGCTGTTCTGACCTAGGCTTCACAAAATCACAAAACAGACTCCTTGTCCCAACAAAACCCCTTTTTATTAGACTGATGTGAATTCCTATCATTCACATCCAGCAAAGTCATGGCAAACAGTCTTTCAAGGATGAATTGCAACCACAAACTTTATCAGGCTTAGAGAATTGCTAGGCCGATAGCTTCCAAGTGCAATGCTATACAAGAAAATACTTGGCAAGGAATCTCTGAAAGCCACAAACAAATTTCACACTAATTAAATGAATAATTGTCTCCTGCAAACATCACTCCCCTTTTGCTCCTCTTTGTTCCCTATAGGAGGGACCATTCACTGTCCACCTGTGGATTTACTCCCGAGTTGACCCTTGTTCCTTAACTGTTCCCTTCTCCTGGTAGCTCTGCGCATGGGCACATTGGGAACAGGCTCCAGCTGTTCTTCTGCCCCCACTGATCGCCAACTCCAAAGGCAGCTGATAACTGTCAGATAGCCCTAGCCTCATCTCTGCCTCTGATGCAAAGCACTTATCAGAGCCTTCCCCAGACTCCAGGACTGGCCCATGTTCCCCCACAATCTCTTCACTATCTGAGCCTGCCACCAGCTCTGCTGGCCGCTGGCAGGCCACAACACTAGCTTTCTCCATGATCCAGCATATGTTGGCAGTTTGATCTCTAGTTCCTCTGCCTCTCTGAAATCCTGCCAGTACTTCTAGTATTTCTCAGTCCACTTAGTGCTGGAGCCTAGCTTGTAGGATTTTGAGTATAACTTAATTAGTATGTGAAATGAGTGTAATGGTGCAGTAGTTTGAAGATTCTTTGGCATTGCCCTTCTTTGGAATTGAAATGTAAACTGACATTTTCCAATCCTGTGGCTATTGTTGAATTTTCCAAATTTCCTGGCAAATTGAGTATAGCACTTTCACTGTATCATCTTTTAAACTTTTGAATAGCTCAGCTGGAATATTGTCACTTCCACTAGCTTTCTTGTTGCTCGGACTTCCTTAGGCCCTTGACATCACATTCTAGGATGTCTGACTCGAGGTCAGTGACCATCCCATCATGGTTATCAGGGACATTAAGCTCGTTCTTGTATAGTTCTTCTGTGTAATTTTGCTACCTCTTCTTAATCTCTTCTGCCTCTATTAGGTACTTGCCATTTTGGTCCTTTATCATGCCTATCTTTGCATAAAAAGTTCCCTTCATATCTCCAATTTTCTTGAAGAGGTCTCTGGTCCTCCCTATTCTATTGTTTTCTTCTATTTCTTTGCACTGTTCATTTAAGAACGCATTCTTATCTCTTTTAGCTATTCTCTGGAATTCTGCATTCAATTGGGTGTATCTTTTTGTTCTCCCTTGCCTTTCGCTTCCCTTCTTTCCTCAGCTATTTTTAAAGCTTCCTCTGATAGCCATTTTGCTTTCTTGCATTTCTTTTTCTTTGGGGTGGTTTTAGTTGCTATCTCTAGTACAATGTTGCAAACCTCCATCTATTAGTTCTTCAGGCACTCTGTCTATCAGATCTAATTCCTTAACTCAATTTGTCACTTCTACTGTATGTATATTCATCAGGGATATGATTTAATTCATACCTGAATGACCTAGTGCTTTTCCCCACTTTCTTCAATATAAGCCTAAATTTTGTATCAAGAAGCTCATGATTTGAGCCACAGTCAGCTCCTGGTCTTGTTTTTACTGACTATATAGAGTTTCTCCATCTTTGGCTGCAGAGCACATAGTCAATCTAATTTCTGTGTTGACCATCTGGTGATGTCCATGTGTAGAGTCGTCTCTTGGGTTGTTGAAAAGGAGAATATGTTTGTTATGACCATTGTATTCTCTTGACAAAACTCTACCGGCCTGTGCCCTGCTTCATTTTGTACTCCAAGGCCAAACTTACCTGCTATTCTGGTTATTTTGGCTTCCTACTTTACCATTCCAATCCTCCATGATGATAAGGACATCTTTTTTGGTGTTAATTCTAGAAGATGTTGTAGGGCTTCATAGACCGGTCAACTTCATCCTCTTCAGCACCAGTGGCTGGGGCATAGACTTGGACTAATGTGATGTTGAATGGTTTGCCTTGGATTTGAACTGAGATCATTCTGTCATTTGGGAGATTGTATCCCAGTACTGCTTTCTCTTTTATTGACTATGAAGGCTACCCCATTTCTTCTGAGGGATTCTTGCCTGCAGTAGTATATCTGATGGTAATCTGAATTAAATTCACCCATTCCTGTCCATTTTAGTTTGCTGGTTCCTAAGATGTCAATGTTCAGTCTTGTCATCTCATTTGACCACATCCAAGCTTGCCTTGATTCGTGGATCTTACATTCCAGGTTCCTATGGAGTATAGATCTTTACAGCATCGGACTTTCCACCACCAGATACATCCACAGCTGAGTGTCCTTTTGGCTTCATTCTTTCATTCTTTCTGGTGCTACTAGTACTAGCCCTTTGTTCTTCCCCAGTAGCATATTGGACACCTACCGACCTGAGGAACACATCTTCAAGTGTCATATCTTTTTGCTTTTTGGTAATGTCCATGGGGTTTTCATGGCACAGATACTGGAGTGGGTTGCCATTTCCTTCTCCAGTGGAAGAAGGTTAATACATTTTAAATCTAAGTACCAGTCTAACTCTAAATACAAGTATTAACCCTAATTACTAGCTGAAGACTGTAATTATAGATGTTGACAATTAATTCCACATTTAATGTACCTATGAAATAGCATTTCCTATACTACTCTTATTTCTACTGGGTGAATGTTTCCTTAAGCAGAAACAGTCAATTGAAATCTAATCAGCAAATTACGAGTGGACTGGGACTTCCATGCATACCTTTATTGACATCACACTTAATGTAAACTACAAGTAATTCTGAACCTATAACCATTTTAGCAGCAATTGTTCCAAGTTATAACAGCACTGATTATATGATTGTTATCATAGTCCCTGATGTTCTGTCCCAGTGTCCCTCAATCATGGGATGTTATTGTGATCTGGGCATGGCAACCTGTCTGCATTTACACCTGGTGGACAAAAGGCCTGTGATTATGTAATTGCCATTTACAACCTTCCATTCTGGTTCTTCCAGAAATCGAATGGAGAAGCTGGCAGAAAAGTTTGCAAGTCACTGGGATAAGTCTACCTCAGCTGAACATCTTCCTCAACTCCTTTGTGCTTGCATCAACCATTTGTATATTTTCTTGCACTGTTTCCAACCCACATGGTACCTCTTGCACACCTTCCAGCACTCTCCATGATCTACATGGTCTCTTCCCTAAATTACACCTTGGCTCTTATAGACTTCTGGGCAGCCTTCCAAACTTCCAGCTCTCATACATCCCTCATGCCCTTCTCCAACTCATGCTGCACCATTTTCACACTTTGCTGACCAGCAACAGCCATCCCAAGCTCCACTGTACTTATACTGAATCTTCCTGTCCACCTGTGCACTCCCTTGCTCCCTCTCCCATCTGACATCAGGTGATCATTTACCTGCCTGCTTGTTTGCAAGGTTTCTGGACTTGCAGTTTCCTGCCAGCTTTCCCATTGACTCTAGTTGTTGGAAGCTGGGAGGAAGTTGTGAAGAAAGAGCAATAGCACTTAGACTTATATACAGTTTCCCAGTGCTTTACAGCCCTATCTAAGTGGTTTACAGAGTCAGCATATTGCCCTCAACAATCTGGGTCCTCATTTTACCAACCTTGGAAGCATGGAAGACTGGGTCCACCTTGAGTTGGTGAACTGCTGGCATTAGGCAGTCAGCAGAAGTAGCCTGCACTACTGCCTTCAAATTACTGGGCCACCATGGCTCAAGTACTCCCTTAGCAACCCATTATCCTCACTTAATGACAGCAATGGAGACTACAGGGATTGCTGTCACTTAACAATGTGGGGATGTGACATCACAGTTTTTGACTGAATCACTTAATAATAGAAATTACAGTTCTAGTTGCTGTCACAACTCAAGAACTACCTAACCTATACCTTCATTTTAAGTTCATCAAATTTGATTTTATAGGTCCTTGACTTACAAACATTTGTTTAGCAACCATTATTCACTTCTCAACTGCAATGATTAATAACCATGATAAAAGGTCAGAAAACTGGGTTTGGCTCACTGAACAACATAAATTCTGGTCCCATTTGTAGTTGTAAGTCAAGGACTACCTGTATTTGGGGTTTCTTTATTTGAAAGAAAGCATTCTTATTATCATAGAAGATTGTCTACCTACAGCAAATGTACAGTTTATTTTGCTGAAAATAATGCTTGGTTATTAAGTAATCATTAAGTTATATGCCTAATTAGCAGTAACTTTTTAAAGTAACAGAGAAATCTACTCACACGGATAATAAATCTAATAGCTGCACATCCAGAAGTTGCCATTACTTTGGCGCTATTAGGGACCAGGTTAAATAGAGTAGGCACAATGGCTTCTGCTCCATGGTCAAACTTGTTTCCCAGAACTGTTGAAAGATGGCTGCATAGAATGAAATAAAGCAAATTATCAAAATTCATTCAACTGCTAATATAAAAAATTTCAACACCTCATTATATCACAATACGCTTTCTAGAATATTTAATTTCCCAAAACTTATTATTTGACATAAGCCTTTAAGAACTTTCCTACTGGGTTTCATCAGCATATATTTTAATCCAAATTTCCTTCCCCAACCCTAGCCAGCCCACGCTAGCCAGCTAGAAATGATAGAATGCTTATTTTTAAAAAATATTAAGTACAGGTAGTCCTCAACTTATGACCACAATTGAGCCCAAAATTTATTTTGCTAAGTGAGAAATTTGTTAAGTGAGTTTTGCCCCATTTTATGACTTTTCTTGCCACATTTGTTAAATGAATCACTGCACTTGTTAAATTGGTAACATAGTTGTTAAGTGAATCTGGCTTCCCCATTGACTGTGCTTATCAGAAGATTGCAAAAGGTGATCACATGACCCTAGGGCACTGCAACAATCATAAATGTGAATCAGTTGCTAAGCATCCGGATTTTGATCACGTGGCCATGTGGATACTTCAATGGTCATAAGTGTGAAAACCGTTCATAAGTCACTTTTTTCAATGCCAAGGACTACATGCATACAGCCCTTCAAAAATTAAGTTTTCGTTCTAGATTCCTTGTCATAGTGAATACCCATAGACCTATTTGAGAAATCCATGTCATGGTGATTCATTGCTTAAGAGAACTGAAAGCGCTGACATCACAGTGGAATGGCTGTGGCTAGTGGGCCTCCATGAAGCTCAGCTGATTTCTGCTTGCCTGGAGGTCCCTTGGGGCCAAAGTCACCCTGTAGGGGTGATGAAAATAGGAAGGGCTCTGTGGACGTTGGTCTCTTTGCTGGATCCAGAGAAACTTCCTGACAGGCGGAGAAGACGGCTATAATGGCTGAACCAGAGTTGTGACAGCTAGAACGAAGAAAGCACGAAAGAAAAGGCAGAAAGAGAAACAGTGTATTGGATATGGGTAAGGATTGCCTAATTTCTACCCAGAATTAAATTCAGTTCTTCAGAAGTACTTTTAAAAAGAAAGTGGGAGAAAAAGAGGGAAGGAATTGTCTTTCCTCCCTCCAAAGGAAAATGGTGAATGGAAGTTTTAAATTGATTATAAATTTGTGTGAAAAGAGAGAGAAGCGAATGGAAAGTACTATCTAAGATATGGATATGTACAATATTCCCCTTTTTAGTTGTTTTTCCTTTACATGTGGTTATAGTGAGTTCCTCCTTAAGGCTTTTAAAACTTTTGGTACAAACGGAGAGTAAGGGCGACACCTACTGGCTAAGACAGTATATAGGGAGAAAGAAGTGCAGGACAAAGGAAATATTTTGGAAGTGACTAAGTTAGGTAAGAGACTGAATTTAAACACTTTGTTTTGGGAACTGCTGCACCTGGTGTTTAGAGATGGATTGAAGACAGAATTCATTCTGGAAACTAAGCTGGGAAAAACAAGACAGTTGGTGGTTACAGTGAAGAATCCCTTTTGAACTTTTGTGGATTATAAATATCTCTGACTGACTAATGGAAATAGTGGAACAACATGAACCAGTTTTGAGAAACTGGGAAAAGACCTTGGGACTAGCTTGATATCTTGGATTATTGGAAAACTAAAGGCTGGGGGCGCTCAGTGGGCCTTATGCATTACAAATACTAATTGACAAAAGACAAGATAGAACAACTTATGTCCCCAAAGATTGGTTGGAATTGAGGAATTGGACATGTGATCTGGTCCTTTCTTATTTGCCACATGGGGTATTGAAGCGTTGGGGAGTTACCTGTGGATAGCTTTTGGGCTGTTAGTGGGGATGGTAGTGTATCCTCTGTTTGCTTACTTAAAGGGGAAAAGGGGAAACAAGGAATTAATATTAGCTGCTGAGATGACAAGTATTCCAAATTTAACCAACATAGGAAAGAAAGCATCTTCTACACCGTCATCAGCCTCCTCAAGTCCATCCAATCAAAGATGAATAGAAAGCATGCTGAAGCAAAATAAATCAAATACATTTCAAAAGGAAATGCAAGTGATGCTTCAGTCGATACAGAAGGCCATTACGAAAAATCACAACGAAATGAAAAAAGAGATAGTGAAGAATGATATGGGTGAAGAATGATATGGGAGAGATGGAAGAAAAAATACAAAATCTGGATGAAAAATTTGAGAACTTTCAACAAATAACAAAAAAACGAACAAAGAATTCAAAAAATGGAGGAGAAATCAGAACAAGCAGAGAAAAAAGTTAATGAAATAAATCAAAGATTGACACAAGCAAAGATTTGGAAAATCCAGTGATAATGCTGGAAAGAAAAAAAGCAGTCCACCATCTAAGATTCCAGAAAATAGAAGAGGAAAAGGGGAAGACCTACCAGACATAATGAGAGAGCTATTGGCAAATGCATTAGGGATTGATAAGCAGGAGATGAAGGCAGACAGATGAAATCTTTAGCATATATGAGCTACGCAAAGAGATACAAGCTTCCAAAAGAAGTACATGTGAGATTTATGAAAAAATCGATAAGAGATGAAATACTTAATAAGGCAAGAGATGAACCACTACAACATAAAGGGAAACAACTGGTAGTCTTGAAACAGGTCTCTAGGAGAGTAAGAGACTTACTGAAACAATACCAATTCTTGACTATGATAATGATTAAATACAATGTAAACTTCAGATGGCTGATACCTAGTTACCTGGCATGAAAAAAGATACAGACTGGATTCACTGGATAAAGCAATGGAATTCTATGATCATCGTTTAATATGGATGATGGACAGGAAGAGGGGAGAAACAGAATATAAAGATCAAGAAGAATCAACAACAGAAGAAAAGTATATACAAGAAGTGAAGTTGAGAAAAGAGAACGAGCAGAGCAAGAAGGAGCAAGAGCAAAGGACCAGAGGGAAATAAGAGCAACTATGAAAGTAAGACCTATATATAAGTAAAGCAATGCAAGAAGAAATAAAAATGCTGCCAATTAATATAAATGGGATGAATTCCCTCATGAAAAGGAAAAAATATTCACAAAATTACAAAGATTAAAATTAGATATAATATCTTTACAGCAAGTACATATTAAAAAGCACCATAATAAATTATTAGACTATCCTAAATTGAGGAAACTATACTCTTCGTTATAGCAACAAAAGATGGAGTTATATATTAAAGAAACAATAAATGCTAAACAAATTTTCAAAGGTGAAGAAGGGAGAATTTTGATGGTGGAAGTGACATTAAATCAAAAACAGATATTTTTAGTAGCAATATATGCGCTGAATAATGGACAGGAAGAATTTTATTAAAAACTTCACAAGAAGATACTTGAAATAGAATATGAAAATATTTGTCTCATAGGAGACTTTAATGCAATAGTTGATACAAACCTGACTATAAAAGTAAAAGTAAAAAAACAAGAAAGTCCTTATTTAGAACTTCCGCCATCTTTAAGATGGCGGAAGAAATATGTATACAGGTTATTTGGAGAGAAACCAACTCAGAGAAAAAGCAATATACATCTAATCTAACAGACATCAATTTGGTCTAGAAGATATAATATGGATGTTGGCGGAATTAAGCACGAGTGTGCAAGAGATAGAAATAAAAACAAATATATGGGCTGACCTTAATCCAATAAAAATCATTTGGAAGGAAAAAAGAGAAGAGTAGGATGGACTCTGAACCAATTATACTAAAAGGCAAAGAATTTATACAGATGATGGAAAATGAAATGGGATTTTTCTTTAAAGAGAACAGGAAAGGGGAGACTTCATTACAAAATGTTTGGGATACAGTGAAAGCATATATTAGGGGATTATCTATTACCTATATAGAGAGGAAAAAATAATGCCAAAAGACACTAGAAGAAGAGCACCAAAACTTGAACTACAACTATAAAAAGTACCACAAAAGGTAAATTTTAAAAAACCAAATAACACAATACAGTGGAATCTCGACTGTAATCCATTCCAGGATTTCGGTCGCAACCTGATTTGGTCGTGACTGGAGCAAGACTGACTGCACATGCAGGTAGGAAAAAAAATGACGCGGCAGGGGAAATCGCTGTGGCAGGGAAAATCGCTGCAGCTGTGTTTGATCGCCGCCTGAGGATTTGTTTGCAACCAGAATGAAACATTTAGTGGATTTTTTGGTCAGCACCTGGTTTGGTCGTGGTCAGAAGCATGACCCGAGGTTCCACTGTATTTGGAAAAAGCTAACTTACCAAAAGTGTTTGAAATGATGAAGAATGTGCTAAATGAAAGAATAACAATGGTAGAACTAGTAGAGATGGCTAAAAGACAAAAGAATAATAAAACACCAGGTCCAGATGGACTATCAGCAGAAATCTGTAAAAATCTACAAGATACACTAAGCTTGTCAATGTTAGAGGTATATAATGAAGTTTTATTAGTAGCCAAGATACCACACACATGGATGGAAGCTAATATTACTTTAATCCCAAAAGAAGACTCATATCTAACACAAATAAAGAATTATAGACCAATATCTTTATTAAATGCAGACTGCAAAGTATTTGCTTCAATAATAGCTGAAAGACACAAGAGATTCTTGAATGAGTTTATACACTCTGATCAAAATGGGTTTCTACCTAAAAGGCAAATTAAAAAATAATGTGAAAATTATCTTAGATACATTGGAATATTATGAAGTACACTGTGAAAAATAATTGGCATTGATCTTTCTAGAGGCTCAAAAAGTTTTTGATAATATAAATTGGCAATTTATGGTGCAACAACTGTAGTGTATGGACTTCGGTGAAAAATTTATAAACATGATCAAGGCAATTTACACAAATCAGAGAGCAAAAATTATTGTGAATGGGGATGTGACAGAAAACTTCTATATAAAAAAGGCACAAGCCAAGAATGTCTATTGTCCCCATTATTATTTATATTAACACTAGAAGTGTTAATTAGAAATATTAGATCCAGAAATAAAAGGAATGGAAATAAAAA